ATATATAAATCAATATTTATATATATATATAAATCAAAAAGAATAGAAAAAATATATGTGCTTATTATTAGGATTGTACGGAATCCCTTTGGTGCTCGTTATCTTTGGTTTGCAAATTTACACGGCCATTCTACTGGGAAGATCATGGATTATTGCGACTGCTCTGGATCCACAGATTTCACAAAAAAATCGGTATTTCTTTTTATTGTTTTTTATTAAATTCTTTAACATTTGTCTAATAAAAATATAAATTCTACAATTTGATATTAAAATTGCAGCTATCCTCTCGCCGCTGTGACGGAATTAACGATGGGACAGCGCACACGATCTATCGTCACTCTGCTTTTAGATTTGACAGTTTTTGGTTGTGGCATTCCGAATTTATTAGTTGGTAAATAAAAACACACCTTGTATTATAATTATATGCATTAATATTAAGAACAATTTTTATTCCGTTTTAAAATGTTGCATTTAACATCATTATAATATATTAAATGGATATAAAGAAAATATCTTTTTCACATATATTGCATTTCTTGATAGTAGATATTCCCCTAATGGATATTATGAGATATAGATAATATTCTATATTTATATAATAGTTTTACGCAAACGATTTCCTATAGCTTCGCAGAATTTGCACCTGTTCGGACTTAAGGTATCAGAACAGCGTTTTGATCTTTCTTTCTGTTATTGGCTGCTAATAGTCGGTCTTTTACTTTGTCCGTTGATGTGGCTAGGCAGTCCGCGAGACATGAAGTAAGATAAACTGTTTTTCATTATTATAACTTATACATTTCGGTGCTAGCTAAGTAAGTAATTTATCAAATTATTATAGATGGATCGCAACATGTTCTAGTATAACAGTTACTTTAACAGCAATATTAATATGGTGGAGCATTGTAAGTGATGACCGAACATTTAATGTTGTACCAATTGCTACTTCACCGACATGGGATAAATTTATTTCCGGGTAGGCGCAGTTCCTGTATTACAAATAAATACTTAGAATAAGCTTTCTTTTCACATTTCAAGTACCATCGATATTAAGTATAGTTTGTGAAATGAAACGATCCATTAATTAACTGATTAAGTATAATTACTCGGATAAATGTTCAGGTACGGTATGCTAGCTTTCCAATTCGACGTGCATCCTACTTTAATGACGATACAAGTTGATATGCGTCGTCCTCGAGACATCAATAAAGCCATCTTCTTTTCTTTCATAAGTAAGAAACCACGAAAATAAATTATTTCTTTCTCTTTTTCTCTTACATTTTATTTCCATATATATAGAGGGACATTCCACGCCAAGTGGGTCACCCATTTTGCGAAGTTCCATGGATTTCGTTCATATTGCATGAACTTGAACAGTTTGATGAATAAAGACTCTATGCCAAATAATATACCTGTAGGCCAACTGGTTACCGAACTGTAGAACCGTCAATTTTTGGGCTTTCTCGTTGCAGCGCTCTTTTCGCTTGTCGTTAGTGGGCATGAAAGGCAATTTTGAAAATAAAGTGCAGACGTATTCTTATAGAAAATTGAACGCTCTTTCACGTAAGAATATTCTTTTTTTAATCAAACCGGTTTACGATGATGTTTTTCAGTTTTGAACTTTTCAAAATGGCGGCGCGCCTAAAAGGCCGCTCTCAATTTTCTTTTAATATAGTTCAAAATGTAGCTCCAGGTCTCTACTTTGTTACTCTAAAAGGACTTAATGGGACACGCATTCGTTTGGGAGTAAGAGCTAGGAAAGTGAGGAAAATGAGTGGTGCGGCAGGGGGACGGAGCGACATTGCCTCACTTTCCTAGCTCTTACTCCT